CTTTCCGAGGTATTGTACAAGTTCACACTGTTTGTGAAGTTTGAATATGAAGGAATAATTAAAAAAAAAAAACAAAAAAATTTTCTCTTGGTCTCCTCGTGTCTTCTTGGGGGTGTGTCTGCTTCAGGCAACTGTCCGTGTACCTTCACACTTCTAAGTCTGTTGAGTCTGAAATTGTCAACACTTCGAAGGCCAGAGATTCACACCAGCCCTCTTGATACCCAAAATAGGGATTTCAGGACCTCTGATGGGAAAATCACTTTAGAGATGGATAGTGCAAGATCTATATGGTGGAGCTCTATAGTAGAGATCTATAGTGGAGACCTATATAGGCATTGTTCTGTGCCTGTCTGAGCCTCAGAAACAATGATGTGGCTTCTTACTGCATAATGAATGAGCACTCACTGTGTCCTCCCCATCTGAAAATTGGTACCTAGTACCTAGTTCCATTTCCCATAGAAACAACTATCTCATATGATGCTGTATCCTGTGAGTCTGTCTCGGAACCACATTTTTAATATTCTGGACTTCTGAGCTCTTGCAAAAAAAAAAAAAGGGGGGGGTGTTCCTAGCACAAAATGCTCTTTGGAGACTGCTAAGGGACTTCTGTGGGCTTCACGAATCATTTTTGTAGAGAACACCACCTAAATATACTCTCCTAACCTTGCCATTCTCACAAAAATGGCTAATGCAATAAGAAAAACATGAGCCTTCCTTGTTCGTGATGAGGTCACCCGAATTTAACTCCTTGAGCCTTTGGTAAGTGTCTGTATTTCATTCAATACTGTGTAGAGCGTGGATGAAACAGAAGAAATTATTTCAGCCCTGGTAGGCCTTCAGATCCAATAGCTGGCAATAGATGGTCTATGAAAGGGCTCTACAGTTCAAGCTGTCTCCAGTGCTGTGGGAATCGGTGAGCTAACAAGCAGTGGTGGATGAGGGAGGTAGGGAAGGGTCCAAAACTAGTTTGCAGGAACCAGAAGGACGTGAAGCCTTGAACTCGGTGGGCACTGTAGGCAGCCATTTGCACTCATGTAAGGAAAACAAAATCCCCCAGACACAAAGCCTGGAAAGTCATTGGTAAACCCCAAAGATGTCACAGTGCCATTAAACATTGGTATCTTGAAACTCCATAATTCATCTAAGTTAACCTAATTTTCTAGAAAGTTCAAAAAAGATGAGGAGATACTCAGTAGTTAAGAGTGCTTACTGACCTTGCAGAGGACTCAGGTTTAGCCTCCAGCACCCATCTGGTGGATCACAACCACCTGCAACCCTAGTCCCAGGGGATCCAGTGTTCTCTTTCGGCCTCCACAGGCTCCTGAGCACATATGCCACACATGAACTCATACAAGCGCACACATACACTGTAACACCCAATTCTGTGTTACACCCTCGGTACAGTTAGCGCTACTGTACCGTACACGAGTCGGGCAAGGGCCTGGAGATTGAAAGAACACACAGAGAGACCTGGGTCATTAGTAAGGAGATCAGCCAAATGCTATTTATTCAACCTTGGGGAAATCCTTATAGACCTAGCTGCTGTACAAGGACCTCTGCCCAGGCAGGTGGGAAATTACCATACCAACAATGGAGTCAGTGCCCTACAGCTAATCACCAGGCGGGGGCAGGGGGAGCACAGGAACAAACAGAATGCTTTAGTTAGCTGACCAGAAACTGTCCTCAAGATGAACCCCAGGAATAAGGGTAGACCCGGGACCTACAATACACATAAATAAATCTTTTAAAAAATACCTTTTTTTTAAAGCTAATTCGTGCCTGTCTGATATCTGTGAGCACTATCAGCTTCTCCCAGGGCTTGTGCACTCTGCACAGGCCACAGACTTGCAGGCCTCTGCTGCATTTGTCCCCACACAGTGGTATGGTTTGTGTGTGGGCTGTCACACTGTGAACGGCACATCCACCATCCATATAGCATTTTCTGGTTTATACATTCATCTCTCCTCAGTTACACCATGAACTGTGAGGGAGCTCTCATTCCACCCATGGATAATGACAAAGACTCGCCAATCAAAGCAATGAAACACTCAGGTTGAGGTTTTCCTTCATGTTCATACACACCAGCATTTCTCAAACTTGATTAATGGATTTATACCTTTAAAGGAAAAAAAATTCTCACAGGTCCCCTTCACAATAGAAAGTCTGAATACTTCTACTGTGCTTACTAACAAATTCTCATATACATACATATTTTCACTACAAGAATTTCTAAATAGGCTCAGACATAACTTCCAATAAGCCTGTTCGCCTTATAGATTCAAAACCAAAGTTACACATTAAACACAGGTAAAACTATGAGATTAATTTTTTTTTGTTTTGTTTTTCGAGACAGGGTTTCTCTGTGGTTTTGGAGCCTGTCCTGGAACTCACAGAGATCCGCCTGCCTCTGCCTCCCAAGTGCTGGGATTAAAGGCATGTGCCACCACCACCCGGCCTGAGATTAATTATTTTTGCACTAACAATGCTGGTGAGCTGGATATTCATTCCTAAGGCCCAGAGGCCTAGAAAGAACACTTTCTGAAAGAAGATTGCAAGATAAGGTGTTGTCCCCTCAAGAGGGCTCCATGCTCTGCGACTCAACATTTCTCGGTATAATCTCCTGGGTTGTGGCTCTGACTGTAGTCCGGAACCAGAGTGTGGGCAGGAAATCAGTAAGTGCATTGTTCCCTGGACACCAGCTCCTATCAGGAAACTCGGGAAGACACCCAGGAGAACTTGGAATCCCTTTCTCTCAGCGCTTAGGGGTCCTGACTTCAGTCTCTGTGATCTTCGCCTATGTATTTTTCACCAAATATGGTAAGAGGGAGAGACTGTCCTAGACATTACTTTAAAAGAAGGAGAAAGACAAAGACCAACAGATAGGAGGTTCACGTCCAGGTTCCATCTTAGCTCAAGCTTAGAGCAGTATAATGGGGCTCCATACGCAAAATTAAATTTCCAGGAGCCATGTTTAAAAAGCAGAAGGAAAAGGAGAATTAGTTTGTAATTATATATTTTATTTAACCCCCAAATATCTAAAGCATCATTTGGAAATGTGATGAATATTTCTAAATTAGACGAGATAGTTTACATTTTACGGTTCACATTGTCTGCAAAATCTGGTGTGTGTTTCAGACCCAGACCGGCAAATCCCACCTAGGATGAGCCTTAGGGTACCAGCGCCGTGGCCACAGGGAAAAAGTGGCTACTGTCCTGGGCAGCACGTGTCTCCAGGAGTCTGGACCTTCGGCTCCTGTCTTCTGTGGATCTCAGAAGGGAATCTAGTTCACTTTCCACTTTGAAATTTGTTTTCTGTCGGATTGAATCTCATTTTAGCAACCTGACCCATTTCCGACATCTATAGGCTCCTTTGTATTTTCTCTCCGTCCCTGTGGTATTTGAAAATGTTCCCAATTGCCATAATTATGTTAAGTGACACCCAGATCTCAATCCAGCCTCAGCTCAGTGTCGATCTCCTCCAAATCAAGTCACGGCTCCTTTTTATCATTACATTATACTTCATTTCCAATCTGTAAGCTGTGTTCTACTTTCAACCAATTTGCATTAGTTCCTAAGACAAGTCCTATGGACTGCCCCAGCAAACAACAAACTCCATTTTACCTGTACCCATCTTTCTCCCAAGGGCTGGGGCTCTGGGCTAGTCTTAACCCCTTATGACCCATCTGGGAGGAAAGTGAGGTGGGGGTGGGGATTCCCAGGAGGCACAGGAGTTGAACTGTCTTTCCTGCCTATGTTTAACTTAACATTGTCTCTTTGGAGAGAGACAAGCTCACTTCTTTCTCTCTTCAATCTGGGCCTGTAAAAGAAAACCACTCACAGGTAAATCCAGCCTCCTCATTTCTCCAAGAGAGATGGGCGAAGGGCAGCGTCTTTTTAGATCCAGCCCGAAAGCAGTCCCGCATCATTTAATCGCAGACACCCCATCCCCAGCACGAAGAGCTCGGGCGATGTGGAAGGAGGGTCTTATTTTTTAAATCTTCGATCACACGTGTGTCTGCTCACCCTATTGTTTTGTTTTCAGAAGAAGTCCTTATTTTAGAGAATGAGACTTTGCTCTTAGTGGCAAAATGTTTCCATTTTCAAAGGCCCAGTGGCAGATTACCAGAAAAGGAAGGTATATCTTGGTCTAGGTGCCAGGACGTGGCTTCCCAGGTGGGCAGGAGTTTCCTGAGGGCTACCTCAGACCACAAAGTGTGAGGAGTCTTGCAATCTCTGAACCAGCCGCCCTGATGGACTCTGAGCTCAGCAGATCTGAAATGGCCAGCTAAAGAAGGAAGCCTGACATTCATTGGACCTCGGGGTGCCAGGGCATTTCAGCCTGTACTACCTGAAATTCTTTGGTGTCGCTGGAAAAATGTCTCCTCCCACCAGACCAGCCCCATCAGTCCACAGTTGGCTGTGGAGCCTTCACCATGTCCTGACAGGTATATTTTCCTTGGCGTCCAGATCATGAATCCTAACTTCCTAGTACATCTTATTATAAATGTCACCTCACTTTCTGAGACTATCAGCCTTGAATCCCCCATAGAAGTTGGTACTTGGCCTTGTTCGTAAATAAATGTCTTGAACAAGTGAATGTTGGTCAAAAATAACGATGAGAAATAAGCCCAGTGGCCATTCTTATCATCTGCCTCGGCACCTGGAGCCACAACCTCTGCCCGAGTTCTGAGGAACGTAGTTCCCACAGCCGCAAGAGGACTGGGCAAAGGACACTGCTCAGATCCCGCAGTTCAAAGCCAGGTCAATAGGAATGCTGGGGTTGTTTTTATTGTTTTGTTTTGTCTTAAAAAAAAAAAAATCCAGGCTGGAGAAAGCTGGAAAGAGCACTTGTGCTCCTGCAGAGGACCCGGATTCGATTCACAGCACCCACACTGTGGTTCGCACCTGTCTCTAACTCCAGTTCCAGCAGGCGATACCTTCTTCTGACCTCTGCGAACATGATCCATGTGTGGCACACATGTATGCAGACCAGACAGTCATATGCATAAACTCAAAATTCATTTCCAAACTTCCATTTATAATCAAATTACACGCTGTTTACCTTGGGTCTGTCACAGAGAAACGGAAGAGGAGGGTAGAAGAAAGGAAGTTTGAAAAGCAGTCATCTTTCATTCACTAACTAAACACAGACAGACAGACAGACTGACTGACTGACAGACAGACAGACAGACAGACAAACACACACACACACACAGAGGAGAAGGGAAGGGAGGGAGGGAACTGTTCTCAGACAGTCTTTGCTAGGACGCTGAAGCTCTCTAGGCTTCGGTAGCTCAGGACGTTAAAGTAGTCACGTGGTTCAGCATAGTCATCTTCCTCTCCACAGAGGTCAGCAGGGGCAGCTTCTGTCTGGACAGGGCCTTCAGGGGCCGAGGGACACCTGAGGATCGCTTCCTGTGGTTCAGCTGCTGTTCTCTCCTGGCCACTTCCCATAGAATGGATTCTTGGAGACTTCTGGAGTAAATACAAAGGGATGTTATGCAAAAGTTGCTTCACAAACGGACAAATGGCACATTGTCAACACCCCTTCCTCCCATACATGAACACTCCCACATACACACACATACATACACATACATACACATGCATACACACACATACATACACAGGAGCAAACTTGGGTTTTTGTTTTGTTTTTTGGTTGTTTTTTTTTTTTTAGTTTTTCAAGACAGGGTTTCCCTGTGTAGCCTTGGCTGTCTTGGAACTCACCCTGTAGACCAAGCTGGTCTTGAACTCACAGAGATCCACCTGCCTCCGCCTCCCAAGTGCTGGGAGTAACGGCGTGTGCCACCGCCACTCAGCCAGCAAACTTGTGTTCTTATCAGTACACAATCCTTAGCCTTTAGCCCTTAACTTCCCTGCTTTGTTGTAGTTTTTTTCCTTATTAGTATTATTATTTTTAAATTATCATACAATTTATTTTGATCCTATTCTTTCCCCTCCCCCGGCTCCTTCTAGATCTTCCCTATTCCCTATCCAATCAACTGCATGTTTCTTCTCTCTCTAAACAAACAAACAAAAGCATTAAGACAATACCAAACTCAAACAAAAAGCAGGCAAAAACCATAGAATTCATTTTATGTTGGCCAACTCCTCCTGGACCTGGAGCCTGCCCTCAAGTGTAGTTGACATATATCCCCAGTGTCACTTGGTTGGAGCACAGAGCTTCTTTAGGGGTGGGGCTTTGTGTCCCCTTTCCCTACTCGTCCTAACTCGGTTTCAACAGGAACTGCTGTAAGAAATGCCGTCCTGCAGCTTTTATGTCCTGGTCTCCTAACCTGGACAGCTGCCTTGCCTCCATCTTGTTTTCCAGCTCCTTACTGTTTGTTTCTTCCTCCTCTTTGGTCTCTGTGCCACCACTTTCTCTTCCCTCTTCTCCTCCTTTTGGCCCCCATCTTCAGCCAGCCTGGCGCCTTTCTCTTTATACACTGGCTCTCCAAGCAGGGGCCTCCCCAGGATTCTGCCCCCTGGCTTTCTCACTCTCAACAGTCAGAGTCATGTCATCCACTGTGAGACTCCAAACAGGACCTGTCCTCTAAAGGCCCAAGAGGCCCAAGACCCTAAGTACCCAGGATCTGTCCTGGGCTTCAGCCCACCTGCCCACAGACTCAGCATGGCCCATAAGAGAACCATAGCAAGCTTAAACTCAACTTGTCTCCACGGGCCTTGCCCCACATCTCCCGCCCCACAATCTACTCCTGCCAACATTCTCCCTTCTAGCTAACAGCACAGCCCTTTCAGAAACATGGATGCCAATACCAAGTTCCAACGCCCCGTAACACCTGTGACAGCTAGTCTTTGTTGTCAACTTGACTACATCTGGAATTAACTAAAACTCAAGTGACTGGCTACACGTGTGAGGGATTTTCCTTAATTAAATCATTCAAAGTGGGAGACCCACATTTAGATCTCGGTATTTTGAGGCGGAAAGTTCCACATTTCCTCTGGGCCTCACCTTCTGGTGACAGCCTATGTAAAGGGCATGGAAGAAGGAAGCTTACTCTCTTTGTCTGCTTGATCGTCCTCTTGCTGGAAAGTCCATTCCTTCCTTGGCCTAAGAGCTGCTTTGGGATTCTATACACTGAAGACCACCTGAAACATCGGGCCTTGTGGACTGAACAACTGCATTTTTGGACTCTCCTTGGTAGACCACTATTGCTGGACTAGCTGGACCACAACCTGTAAGTTATTCTAATAAATCCCAGGAGATATATATCATACATATATAAATATAATGTCTCATATGTATGTATATATAGAAATATATGCACATATATTTATATATTACATATATGTATATGTATATATATACACACACATAAGTGCTCTTCCTCTAGAGACCCCTGATTAGTACACACCCACCTAGTCTTACTCTATCCCTTCTTCATGGCATCCCTCTCACCAGCAAAGGGGAGGAAAAGTCCTCTTCGTTTTGGCTCACATTTCCTCTATCTGCTAGACTAACTTTCCACAAAGATTTTTCAAAAATAAAAATTGAATCTGATCATACTTCTGCTTAAAGCCCTTTAATGGCCTCTACTGTACACCAGAGGGACGCTCAGCCTAGAGTGAGCTATGATGAACACCTTGGGGGATTTGACTTTCAGGTGAGTTAGGAATGATCTCAAATTATAATTAAAGTTTTATATAAAGGATATTCTTGCGGGGAGCAAATCAGTACTTCATCCCCTTTTCCAAAGGAATCCGTGATAGCCCAGACCGTGTGCCCCACCCATGCCCATCTCTCTGGCTGAGCTTCCTCCCACTGTGTCTCACAACCCAGACACCCAGCATCTGAGGCCCAGAGAGCTGCCACTCACAGCAACATGCTGTGTGAGCACCCAGTGAGCTCTGTCATCTCCACAGCAACTCTGCTGACAGGTCTGGTTTGGAATGAGCTGAGAGGCATGGGCAGAAGCCCCTGAACTAAGGACACCACCACCAGTTGCTCAGGCTTGTCTCACTCTGCCTACACTCTCCTGTGATCACAGTGCCTTTGCTCTTGCAGCTTCTCTGTGAAGGTCAATTGGTCTGTCTTTCTGTCTTCACCAGGCTCAGAAACCCAAGTTCCCTAAGGGAAGTGCTATGTTCCTCTTTGGAACTCAGGACCCATATCAGGTATTCAATCTCTATGTCTTGGGACTGGAATAGACATACATATCCAGTTGGACACACACATCCATTTGTGATACAGTCCCATAGAAAAGAATCTGATTTTCCAAGTCAAGGTATAATCCAACACCCAGGAAACTAAAGTTGCATTCGTTGAGACCAGACAGCAGCAAAGTGTGTTCAGTGACATCAACCATAGAATACACGCTAGAATGTCATCCTTGAGGGTTGCAACAGTACAGGGAAGCTGGAGAACATCAGTTACAAGCAGGGTGGCAGAAGAAGTGCTTAATCACATTTCAAAATTGACCCACCTTCTGCATCTAAATGACAAAATCACAGAGATCCAGGGACTTGGAAAATAGGAACAACCAAGCTCATGGAATCTCTTTTCACACCCATGGCTCCCAAGACAGAAAATGCTACCAGAGTGGTGCCAAGCCCAAATGTACACCAGTTTAGGCAAGGAGATAGAGAAGGGAGGTTAGAAGGACCCTGTAGATGTGTTCAACGGACAGATACCAAAAACTAAGAATACTGCATCGCTACAGGCCTTGAGGAGTTGAGCACTGAGAGACACCATAGTCTCAGAATAACAAACACGTCATTGGTCTCCTCCGCCCATTCCTCCTCAGTAGAGGTGGCTAAACTTTAGCATGAGTGTGAAGAAGGGAATGGCTGTCATGACTCATGCTGGTGCTATGTTTAAAAGGACTCTGACATCCCTTGATACAATACAACCCATTTTTAATATGAATACTCAATTATTTCTCAAAGAGCTAATTATGACTTTTTGTGCTTGTGTGTTCTTATTCTCATTCTTGGTAAGGCTGGCCACTCTTTCTTTTTAATTTTAAGACTATTTTGAGCTCTAAAAGTCCTTTGGGAAATGCAAATATTCCTGAGACGGGTCCCTAAGCTGTTCCATTTCCATTCTACCCTACATGGAGACTCTATAATTGTAACCAGCATACAAAAAAATAGGTCTGAGATTAATGTACTAACATTGTCCTAGAGAACCAAGTGAAACTACAGAAATTGCAACTGAGTCCTCTTGGGACAAACATTGCTTTCTAGTAGCATATTAGAAGAACACTGGAAAGCAGGGTTGGCAGAGTCATTGTCCAGTGTCTGACACATGTAACTTATCACCGTACCTGTTTGGCAAATAACATTTATTCATATAATGCATATACATGTATAATAAGCACTTGCTTATACTATCTTAAGATATGCTCAAAATGTCTCCAGAAGAGATGGCATTCATGTTGAGCTTTCTTCCCTCTGACCTCAGCACAATAGGTGTTCTATACATCTGTCCCAGAGAAGTCAGCATGATAGGGTGATGGAGTTCTGAAAAGTACAGGGATGATCAAAGTCACTCCTTTCACCAGCCCTGCCTTTAGCATCACTCTCAGCAGCCGTTAGTTTAGAGCAGGTCCCCAGAATAGCGGCAGACATGTTAATTCTGGTGCAAGAGACCTGGGTTCTCAGAGGAAGGCTAGTGAGGGAACCTAGAGACAAGGGAATGCAAGGCCAGCACCAGCATTACTGGCTTCCATGGTGTCTCTCCTCCACAGACTGATGTTGAAGTAGGAGATGCTTCTGCAGAATGGGATCCCTAGCAACAGCCAGGAGAGGGGACCTCAGAATAGTAGAGAGAAGATGACAGTGTTTAAGAAACACAGTAGATACAGCTACAATGATGGAAACTAAGAGCACCTGCCTGTGGGCATCTTAAGATGGCTCATACAGCACAGCACTCCTAGGGTAAATACAGATATGGAGAGAGAGAACCTACTGGTGTGGGATGTCCTTCTGTACATGTGTTGCTTTTATTGGTTGATGACTAAAGCTGTTTCGGCCAATGGCTTAGCAGAGTAAAACCAGGCAGGAAATCTGAACAGAGATATAAAAAGAGAGTAGGCAGAGTCAAAGAGACACCATATAGCTGCCAAAGGAGACAGACACCAGAACAGAACCTTACCCAGTAAGCCAAAGTCTTACTGGGTAAGTCAAATTTATGGTGATACATAAATTAATAGAAATGGGTTAATTTAAGATGTAAGAGATAATTAATAAGAAGTCTGAGCTAATAGGCCAAAAAGTGTTGTAATTAATATATTTTCTGTGTGATTATTCATGTCTTAGCAGTCAGGAAACAAATGAGAAGCCTCCATTTACAAAATGGCACCTACCATCTGAGGCATGGATCCATATAAGACCTAAAAAAGCCTTAAAGTGGGGGGAGCTTCTAGACCCACAAAAATGGGAGCCAAGTTCAGTTTCTTGGTAGCTGCATTTTTTTTTCAGATAGGCTCTGTTTGCTGGTGGTGAGCAGA